CACTTTCCATACAGGGCAGCAAACCAAGTACATGGATGTAGACTGCATGTCTATAGACTTTGTAGTAGTGAATATGATTATTAGCATTTAAGTAGCACTCCAGACAGATCAATAGATTTCTAAGCAACAAAAGAGTAATGCTCACAATGATAGAAAGATTATCAGACCAGAGGTTCAAAGGGTCCATTAGCCATTTTCTTTATTGATCGTTATCAGTCACTTGAGTGGGAAGTGAAGACTAATTCAACTGGGCTAATTATCAAACAATCAGCCTATAGGGAAAATTTCTTTCCCAGCACTGGTGGTTATTCATTACCCCAAAGCATGACAGGATGCATTCTCTCTGTACTTTATGCAAAGAAGTGTGGGCATATAGTACCATGGATCATGGGAGAACCCAGGTGAAAAAAGCAGAGCTAGTTCACATTCATATGCAGATGGCCCTGGAAACAGGCTCATTTTGTTCCCGTGGCGCTGAACACAATCATCCCAAAGTAATAATCCCTGCACCGACCTGCACAAATCTTCATGGTTTCTCTCATAACATCCAACTACATATGATCATGGTTTGGCCACATATGTCTGGTTTACTTCCTCATGCAAATGCATATATAGTGTAGATTCTTCGTTGTTTCTTACAATTGATGAATTTCCCCATGAAAGTGACTTTGCTTTGTGTATAATGGGTATAGAAGGTGTAAAAAACATTATGTTAATAAGGCGCTGTCTTTTCTTTTTTTTTTTTTTTTTTAAATCTAATTTGTTGTCTTTCACTGTCATTGAACCGCCTCTTTATTTCTATTCTAAGAAAATGCAAATGAACATAGCTTCTGTCAATGAGGTCCATTCACTCTGGGTCTTCCCAATCTGAATAGCTCTGGATTATTTACTTCTAGCCTCTCTTTGAACAGATATCTTTCTATGCCTTTAATTAAGGACATTACTGTTCCTGACAACCTCCTATTTCAACAACATATTTTACTTTCACTAGAAATAAGCAACTTTCAAGATAAGATCCTTCTAAAATGTTTCACACACTCTCCTCTCTTCTTGACCAACTTAAATAATAGCATGTCATCTACAATTTTTGTCACCTTGCTTTTTCAGCCACTTCTCCAGACCTCAAATAAATACATTTATCCACTTTGGTATCTGCAGATGTCCTGTGACACTTCACTGTTAAATTTCTGACCATGCTGAAAATTGGCTTTGTTTTTAATACTCTTTTCCTCCTTTTTTCCTCCCTGAAAAATCTCCCTTCCTTGATTTCTCTCTCCCTCTTTATATGACTGTCCAATTCCCTCTCAACACACACAATCACAATTTTCTGGTTTCTTCAGAATTTTTATTCAGCAGTGGACTGTTAAAGTTGACAGGCTACAGAGAAATCACTGGCATCACAGACACAATAAATTAACTTGTAATGTTGACATTTCCCATATCCACACACTGGATGCCTATGACCAGACACCAATATGTGAGAAAGCTGGTTTTAATCCTCCCTGGTTAATAACTGGCTACAAACAAGATCCCTGTTTGGTTCAATTAAACAGGTAAAAATAAGAAAGAATTTTAAAAAAATCTAAGTGAACATGAAGGAACAACATTGTTCTCTAAATACGATGCTACTCATTTCTGATGTTCTGATTCCTTCTTTGAGTTCATCTTTCACAGATTCAGGTGCTGTAATTACTAGCTCACTGCACCTCTACTTCCAAAAACACCAAATGCGTTATTTCCTAGATTTTCCATTCCATCTCCAAATTCTTCAGCCTTAACGTGTTTTGGGCATAAAGAGGTTACTGTTTCTTGAACTGTATACAAAAAGAAGAACTGCCAATGTAAGAGCAAAGCTTTATTTGGCCCAGGAGACAACCTCTGCCTTAGAGTGTGAACAGATACCCAGGGAAGCAAGGAAAGACAACAAATTTTCTTGAAACTCATTCCCATATCCCAGCAATTTTTGCCTCATGGCCACCTGAGCTGGCAACAGCACTTTCTGAATCTATCAGACAAGACTGTGCCTTTTTCCAGCCTGTTTTTTTTCCCCTGTTACACTAGCCTTCTTGATACCCTGTGGTAGTAAGTTTCAAGTTGAATTATTCAATTCATCAGGAAAAAGAAACCAAACACCCTCTCATTTCTCTCCCCCCCAACCCCATCCTGTTATCTAATAATTTTGCTATCCCTTATCTCATATATGATGAAAAAGCATCAATCCCTATTTGCTTTCTCTAAGCCATATATGATGTCCACGCTTTCCTGTGACAGTTCCCTCCACCATCTTTTTAATTTATTTAGTCTCCCCATACGTGGAAGCCATCCACGGCTCTGGACCACTGTCATGGTTCAAGCCCAGCCAGCAACTTGGAACCACGCAGCCGCTCGCTCACTCCCCCCCTGCCCACCTTCCTTCTTCCCCTCGCTCCCGAAGGGATGGGGAGGAGAATCAGAGGAATGTAACTCCCACGGGTTGAGATTAACAGCTGTTCAGTAACTAAGGTATGATACAAAGCACTACTGCCAGTTTAGGTCAGGTGTCCTGTCTCTGCTTCCTCCCGGCTTCCCCTCCTGCCTGGCTCATGAATGTTTTAGGGGAAGCCAGGAGGAAGCAGAGGCAGAAAACCTGACCCAAACTGGCCAAAGGGCTATTCCATACCACAGCATGTCATGCCCAGTATAGAA